AGTAAATTTTCTTAAATATATTATTACCCCTAAAGAAATTTATATAAACCTTAATAAAGTTAAAGTAATTAAAGAATAGCTAACTTTAATTATACTTAAGGAATTATAAGTATTCCTTAAACTTATAAATTACTATTAAAAATTTATTAAAGACTTCTCTTTTAAAGCTATTTTATTAATTAATATAATAAAAAAGAATTAGTCCTTTAAATAAAAAGAAAAATAATAAAAAGCCTTTAAAAAATTTAAGGAAGCTATAACTTTAAAATTAATTCTTATTATATTTAACCTAAAAAAACCTATTATAATTAAAACTAATATATTAAATTTTATAATTAAAGGAGTTTTAAGTTAACTAAGAGATAATAAAAAGCTAAGATTAATTACTTTCTTTTTATATAAACTCAGCGGACTAGTATTATAATACCTTACTTATAATAAAAAAATATATATAATATTATAAGCATTTAAAAAATAAAAATATTATTACTATAAAAGTAAATATAAAATTATAATATATACTAATTATAAGAATATCTTATACTTTATTATTACTTAAGAACTCTTTAATAAATAAATTAAATACTTTAAATTCTTATCCTAGTTTAACTATAAGCTTATCCATTATAAAGGAATTAAAAATAAATAAGCTAATACTTTAAATAAAAGAATTAATTATAAATAAAAAATACTAAAATTTATAATATAAGTATTATAGTATAATAATAAAAGGAATATTAAATAAGTTTATATTAACGCAATATTTAAAGTATTAAAAAATAACCTAATACTTAAAGAAATTAAGGAATATATAAAGAATTACTTAAATAAAGACTATTTAAAAAATATTACTTTAAACATAAAATACTTAAAATAAAATAATAAATTATAAGTACCTAAAGAACTATAAAGAAAAGTAATTAAATATATTTATAAATATTTATTATATAAATATAAAGGCATTAAAAAGATATATAATTAAGTCCTTATATACTATAATATTAAAGGACTTAAAGTATATATATAATATATTATATTATATTATAATATATATTAATAAATAAAAAATAAAAAATATAAGCTATATAAAAGAATATAATTACTATTAATATTAAAATAACTATAGGAATTAATTACTTTTAACTATATTATTAATTTACCCCCCTTTATTAAATTACTTATTAAAGTTAAGTATAATAGTATATTTATATTAATTTACCGCTTATTAAAGTAAGTATATTTTATATTATATAATAAATTATATATAGTAAAAGAGCTTACTTATACTTATATAAGAATAATTACTATAGAATATAAACTATTAAAAAAAATGATATTAAATAAAAAATAAATATTTACTTTTAAATTTTAGTAAAAACTTATAATTAAATTAAAAATAAACTATAAATTAAATACTATATACTATCCTTAAATAAATAAATAAATAAAACATATTAATTAAATTATTAAAGCTTACTTATATTACTATATTAACTTTATATAAAATAATTAAGTAAAAAAATTACTAATAGCTTAATTATATTATAATAGTATACCCTTAAAATTTATAGGGATTACCCCCTTTTATATTAACTATAAATTTATACTAAAAGCATTTAAATTACTATAAAATAAACCTAACTTTAAAAAAGCTTAACTCACAGCAGAAATAATAATTAACTTACATTAAGAAATATATAAATAACTTAAAGTAATTTAAGACTAAATAAAGAAATATATAAATTAAAATAGAATTATAAAACTAATTCTTTAAAAGGGAGATATAATTTATATACTATAATACTTATAAGGTTATAAATTATTAAATATTAAAATAAATAAGCTAAGTAATAAACTTAATATTAGAAAAATAAGACCTTATAAAATTCTTAAGTAAATTAAAGAAGTAAACTATAAACTAGCTTTACTAAATACTATAAAACTCTAAATTCCAGTATTTTATATATTATAACTTAAAAAAGTATAAGTTAATAAAAATACTAAAAGACTTATTTTAAATAAAATTATTATTAAGGATTAAAAAGAAGAATATAAAATTAAAAATATACTTATTATATACTAGAACTTTAATATAAATAATATTATATACCTTATTAAATAAAAAGAATACTTTAAACTAAAAAACTTATAAGAATTAATAAAATACTTTAACTTTTAAAAGCTAATAAAAAAGTTTCTTTATTTAATAAAATTAATAAACTAAAGTCCTTAAAATTTAAACTAATGCTAAGGGAGGATTAATTAATATTATTAAAAACCCTTATATATTAAAAATCGCTTATTACTTTATTTTCTTTATTTAACTCTTATATCCCTTAATATATTAATTTATTACTATACTCTTTTATTTTACTCTTAGTATAATAAATCTAAGATAGCTAATTTATAGCTTTAAATAGTTTAGCTTATAAATTAATTAACTAAGCTTAAAGAAACTCTAGGGCTTTACCTATAGCCTTTTCCTTTACTTTTAATCTTTTTTATTAATTTAATATCCTTATTACTATAAATACATTAGCATTTTAAATATTTTATAAAAATTAAGCTTACTTATAAAAAAAAGCTATTAAAATACTATTATAAAAATAGCTATATTTAATATATTTATAATAATAAGAAAAATCCTTTATTATATAATAAAAAACTTTCTTTTAAAAATAATAAGTATATAATATATTTAAGTTAAAATTATAAAAAAGAATAAATAATATAAGAATATTACATTTATAAGTTTTATAAGAAATTAACTTAAACACTCTATTAATTATTATAATATTATTTAAGGAACTAGGTTATAAAATATAGGACATAGGGAGAATAATATACTTATAAATTATAAAGCTAATGCATATTTAGCCTTAAGGATAAAACTAATAAAAAGGGGATATTATATTATAACCTAATAACTATAAGATATATACCTACAGAAATACTATAAACTAATAAACTAATTAAGAGAGGATTATATTTTATACTATAAGCTACCTATAATAAATTATAAACACTAAAGTAAGCTATCTTAAAGAATTATAATTAAGATTATAAGCTATTTAAAATAACTTACTATATAAGAATTATTTATTACACTTATTAAATAAAACTTAAATAGTTAGTTATTAATATAGCACTTTTAAATAATAATTAAATTAATTATTTATAACTTTATTAGCTATATAATTACTTTACTTATTAAATCCCTCACATCTCTCTGCTAACATAAACTAACGCCTTAGTTTATAGATTAGGAACTTACCTTATACTTAAGTATAATAGTATAGGTCAGGATGTCACAGGTCTCTAGCCCAAATGAACAACCAACAACTGTATTGAATAGCAGCATTTGAGAGTGACATAAGAGTATTTACACAGATCCTCTCTCACTTGACAGCAACTCTACGCCATATTACACTGTTTATCAAGGGCTAGAATACCTAAATTACATAGCCACAGTGCTACGTCATTGGGTACTAACCTCATATATATTCGTTTACTCTTAGTGTGGACTTATCTTGGGGTTAGGCAGCAGATTTAAAATGTATGCTTAAGGTTTAACACACTGCGATAATGGGCTTTTAGTAGGGAGGTGGCTATGCTATTCACAATCCTCCTATATTAAGCTATGGGCTTATACAGCAAGAGGGGAAACGCAGCTAATCTTTGTCGAGATAATATAACAAGGATTGCTTTGTTATGTTATTATATCTATAAAGTTTATTCCGAGTTGTACTGTAACAAAAGCAAGTATAAGTATAGCTAAAACATACAACACCCTTTAGATATACATGGCCTAATAAAGCTTTTCATAGTTTAAGGGGTTATGATTCAGATAAACCATGGAATTTTTGTGGCTATGTGATCATCAGTTTTTAGAGTAGAATGCGTTAGAAAAGGGCTACAGATGTCGCACTTTCAGCTACGCCCACTCATTGGAGCAGTAATTTTGATGTTATCTACTACACCGAATGGCTAGAAAGAAATATCCTGTAAGAAATCCGCCTGGTCCATGTCAAAGCCAAAAAGCGGATCGAATTCGAAATTCATATCCGTAAACAGGCTATCAATTCCATTGCCAGTAGGCAAGGACACAGGAGCCTCGTCGCATGAGCCATCGTTGCTAAGTGACATCATGCCCATATCGGGATGAGAGGTCGTACTTGTTGCTGAGTCAGTCGCTGCCACTCCCACGACATTAACAATGTCTTGAGACCGAAGAGACTTTGAAGCAGCTTTATCAAGAGCATCTTTGTTCAGCTGGCATCCATAATACATACCCAGCGCTCCACCGTCGTAGGGTAAGGCCAATTGGCTGTCATTATCGCGGGTACCAGTAAGCACGCCTCCAACGTTTACGTTTAGACGCCGCATCAGCTTGACTAAGATGGCCATCGAGCGTCTTGGTGCGTGACAAATTCTTTGATGTTCGGATAGTATCTCGAGACAGTTCTGGAGACGATTGTACGCTTCTGAGGCCGGAGGCGTTTCTGCGGCTATGCGTACATGAATCGTTGCGCTCACATAGGTTGCGTACGATAAAAAGTACGGCGGGGATTTTATGCACCAGTACTTTTTGTAACGACGAAGCACCGTATCAATGCGTGATGCGGCGTTTTCGCAGAGGGAAGAGGCGTGGTAGGTGGGTGAGCGAGTTGTGGAAGAGAGGTGGCCTTCGGAGACGAAGGGACGGTGAAGCAGAATGACCAACGCGTAGAACATTGACCTTATCAAAGTCAGATATAAAAGGCACTTGCAAATAGATTAAGCAGATACTGACACTAAAGATAGAGTATGCGGAAGAGCCATTGTGTCGGCCGTAGTCTTATCGTCAAAGTGGATCTTCAAATGCTCGGGGGATGCATCCCGCCATTGAATCAATTGAGCATGCAAAGCGAGAGACATTTCATATAACTCGTCATTGTCTCTACGCAAGCTCTCTTCTGTGTACAGACTGGCAAGGATGCGATCAGCGATGGTGCTCAGCCTACAGAGGTGCACAAATGTCGACCCGCTGTGCATTGGTAAATCGAGCGTTTGAGCAACCTCCGAGTAGCCTACGCTATTGAAGAGCTCAAGTTCTTCATACTCGTCTAGGAAGAGCATGGGGACACTGCAGTCCATGTCACGGAGACGAGCTGGGCGCCCTTGGTAAATGGATTGAACTTTGTCCAAGACTGGGATTATGTATCAGATGAAGTCTGCAAAAACGGGATAGGAAAGCCATACCAAAGGCGGACCAGAACACTCTGCGCCGTATCTCGACGTCTTCCGGTGAAAGCGACTTTTTAAACGAAAGTGGTGGGGACTCAGAATGAATGCCCAGATCGATTATCATATTCGTGGCAATACCCAAGTAGTGCCACGAAAGACTCCTCTCGTCGCACCATGAAAACAGTGTATCCGACATGAGGAGCAGCGCTTGAATTGTTGGAATGCTACTCTTGCACAAAGTTTGGGTCTCGCGACCAAATAATATATCCTCGGCCTTTTGACGAAACTGACGCCCAGGATGACAGATGTCAGAGTCATCACACGTAGCGCCTACCTCAGACACATGTTTGGAAGCATGAAAGAATATTGAGTATAAAAGTAGGGGAGAAAAGTATGTTCCTTGACAAGCCATGTCGCGCATGAAAGACGGTCGATAAATGATGGATCCGATGGCATGTTGGCGGTTCCAGAAGACTGAGAGGAGTCTCATACCCAGAGACGGATCGATGTCAGCAAAAGACAATTTGTTTAAGCGGAGATTAATGGGTTCAAGTTGACCTAGGTTGAGTCAATACGGAGCTATTCTGGCGGGCATGAGTGCGATAAAGAGCAACTTACGCTGCTTGGCAGCCTCAGCTAATAGCTGCGTTTTTATGGAAACATCTACCTGGCTGGCTGCGGTTATCTCCTTTGTAGCCGGATATTGCTCATCAAACATGGCGCTAGAAGACCTGTTGTAGTCTACCTTTCTCAATTCCCTAGCATTAAGGTCTGTCGAAGCACTATCGCGACCTTGGTTACGCAGCCATGGCGTAGAAGTGTCTGACTCATTGGGTGACAGTATCCCAGAGCGCACAGGACCTTTTAAACTAGTCATATCCACGTGAGTCTGTTCTTCTCCGATATGCCTCTGTTGAAGTGACCGTAAAGCTGCTGCCTCTTGACGTAGCCTCGCATTTTCCTCCTCTAATTGGCGAATCCGTAAATTTGAAGGTCCACGTCAAATCAGCACATGTAGTTCAAGAGCTAGACTTGTAAAGCCAGAGGGCTGCCATATACCTTTCTTTCGTCACTCGTGCTGTATATTTACAGTCTCTTCCATGCGTTAAGCAGTTTTTACAGTTAGGCCTTGCATTATCGCAGCCCAGCTAGGATTGTTAGACTTTCACAGAGCTTGAACAGAAAACGGGGCGTGTACCTTTCTGTATCTACAAAAATCGCAGGCCACGTCAGCCCGCTGTTTGCTCCTTTGGAGTCTGAGAGGGCCAAGATTCGACATGACTGGTATCTATACCGGCATGAAACTTTCGTCCAGTGAAAAAAGTCCCAAGCTGATTGGTACGCGACTGAAAAATGATATTGAACAGGAGAAGTGCAGGCGATGGAACATTATGTTCCGTGGCAAAGTGGGGTCTTGCTCGGGAATGACGCCTGAGAACCTTTCGTTACAACGATATCGCTAGGCCGGGGGACTGGCAGGAGTGCGAGGAAGAAGAGGGAATTTTTAAACAATTAGCACATATTTCCTTTACATACTACCGCTGCTCCTGCTGCTACTAAATGACAATGTTGAAGCTTGAATTATTAAACACAATCTCTGTAATGGCTTTGTCCGACTACTTTGTTGTTTTGTATTACTGTCTGTTATAAATTACCTGGTGAAATTAGCGGCAGGGCGCTGGCAATATATTACTCGATGAATTTGGAAATTTAAATGAGTGTAGTGAAAGTTTAGTATTAGATCAAACTGCTGGTTGATATTATCCAAAAGAAAAGAAAAAGTTTCATAAGCAACACTCATCAATCCAAGAAAGGACGCAGTGTCTCGGCCGACCGCCGCATTAACCCTGTATAGTATGCGTCTGACAACACTCCCGACGCGTGGTCAAGAATGAATTGAAGTTGTCCCTTGGGCACTTCAATCTCCCCAGTTTCCAATTGTGTCGCACCAAATTTTCCGATTGGCGTGCGATCAATTGGTGGCATACACTCTACCGCGAGAGCCCCATGATAATCTGCCTGTCGAAGCTCAGTCATTATCCTCTCCCAATTAAAGTGCCCATCCCCGGCCGCAAGGCGGTTATGATCCGCAACATGAAAGTCAACAATGCGATGCTTGGCTTTTTGTAATGCTCCATAGAGGTCTGTCTCTTCAAGCGCCAGGTGGAAAGGGTCGAAGGCAATACCGCAGTCATACCCCACTGCATCTGCGAGCGCGAGCGCTTGGTCCACGCGATTAAGGAAGTATGTCTCGAATCTGTTCAAAGGCTCAATTCCGACTCGAATGCCCTTTTCCTTGGCCAGTTCGGCTACTTCTCGCAATCCTTCAATTGCCCACTTCCATTCGTTTTCCGGTGTCGATGAAGGAACAAGCTTGCCAACGCGAGCCGGGACAATAGTGATGATTTTGCCTCCAAGGTCGGCGGCCATTGAGACAACGTCCTTCATATATTGGATGGTGTCTCTGCGATGCGCGGGATCGGCAGCAGTAAGGTCCCTGGTTCCATGCTGAAGAGTGACGGTACCCCAGCATTCGATATTGAATTCCCGCAACAGCTGACGAGTTTCTTCAATAGGGTAAAGAGAAGGTTCTCCCGCGAGCTCGATGCTCGTGTAGCCCAGTTCACTTATACGCTCGAGGGTACGCCGAAGGGGTTCTGGGCGCATCCAAGTATGGGCTGAAAGATGCATGATGGGCTTCAGAATCGATTGATGATACAACTAGAATATTCCAAGTCTTTGGTATCAAAAAGATAGAACAAACATGTAATATCAAACTCTACCTTTATATTAATTGTTTTCTTGCATGGCGGAACCAGAGTCGCCGCTGGAGCGGAAGGTGCACGGAAAGTGGAGATCCGTTTTGCGAAGTGTTGATAACCGCTGATCTCTTTGACGGATCCTTGTCTTCCGTAAGCGTATATATATATATGAGAGCTTGATATCAAAACAATATATTCAAATCAGTTGTCAATACTCGGTCATTACAAATACAGAATCATTTCGGTTGTTTATTTTCTACTCTTTACTCTTGTACCTGTCCATCAATACACACTCATTCCACAATGGCAGTCCAGTGGCAAGACGATTCCATATTTGACCACTTCACCATCTTCGAAGAGACGTAAGTCACACCAATCAGATTTTAAAACTATCTTTGACATAAAGCAGATTCAAGACAGTGGGCTCTCACATGATAAAGGCAGCTGTCTTCATCCCGAAAGGCCTGGCGCCAGGCATTCATCCTGGTATCTTCCATTTTCACGGAGGATTTCTCGTAAACGCGCATTCTCTGTTCGCCCCATTCTTCCCGATATGGGCTCTCAAATTAGCGTTGGAACAGAAGGCTATAATCGTTTCACCAGACTATCGTCTTCTTCCATCCGAAAACGGCGTCGCTGATGTCTTGGAAGACTTGGAAGACTTCTGGCAGTGGAGCCGCAGTGATAACTTTGCCAAGATGTTGCAAGTCCGCTCTTCTGGCCACTCGATCGACTTTTCGCGACTGCTTGTCACCGGTAGTTCAGCTGGCGGCTACGCCGCCATGCAGGTGGCAATGACGCACCCAGATGACATAGCAGCCGTGGCCACAGCATATCCGTTTGTGAACCCAAAAGATCCAATCATGTTTTCTGGTCCCAGAGATGACGAACCGACTATTCTGCGCGTGGCACGAGAAGAAATGCCAACAAAGACCTCTGTTCTAGATTGGATTGAAGAGACAAAATACACGGTGGCGACCAAGGCTGGTTTTGAACGGACACCGTTTGCGGTAGCTGCGTCACAGTACGGTATATACTACTCGAAAATATTTGATCCTCGCGGCCTGAATCGACTTGAGTTTATTCCAACAGAGCGCTTGCGAGCTGGTGCTAGATTGCCAAAGAAAATGTAAGTAATCAAAGCCAAAGGGTCAATGACTGAGCTTTACTAAGGATTCTGGTAGCTGGATATTGCACGGGAGCGCCGACAGCGTTGTGCACTTGCGAACTACACAGGAATTTATTGATTTAATTCAGAAGAAGCTGCCTGATACTACTGTGAGGCTTGATATAGCCAATGGGGAAGACCATGCCTTTGATCACTTAAAGACAAGTTGGGAGTTGCATGCGATCGGGGCTCTTGATTTTGTGAAACAGTCGTGGCTAGAAGCATAGCTAGTCTTGACATCATTTGTATATAATGGGAAAAAATACAATCAGCCTCCTAGTTTGAACAAAGCCACCAAGTTGAATTATAGTCAGCTGGTTTAATCGAAATTAGCATAATGTCTGAAATCATGATATTTCATCAACACTACCTACTTGAACTCGTTTTACCAACAAGTGAGTTGACAAGTCTTTGCCAATAGGTTAACTGATTCTTTTGTCATTACAAAAGCGGAGTTGTCACAAGTTAATCAAGGGTTAATTCTGCTAGGATTCCTTAGAGCGAATCCTGCGGTAGCCTTTTTAGCATAATAGTAAGAGTAAAGGGTATTTTTTATGACCAATAAGCATGATCCTTCTATATACCCCTGCCCCCCCTAAGCAGGTGCCTAAAGGCTTGGGTTACATAGGTAGGAGCAGACTACAAACAAGGACTGTTAGTCTGCTATGGAAGCGCTGGGGAACGCACTTGTACATAAGATCAGCATTGAAAACAACACTTAAATTCTCCGTAAGCAACGTGTCTGCGCACCCGCACCCCTCGCATGCCTGCACCATACTTGTACAAAGTTGTAGACAGTTTCCGGTTTAAGCCAAGTGCTTTTTACAAAGGAATACGCATGGCCCGATTAAATACGCAGTGATCAGTCAACCAGACAATATAAAGGATCAGCGTCTGGACGTGATGTTGTCAGGAAATCTTCAACAATACACGCCAAATCTTGTATTCTCTGCAACAGGCCCCATCTATGGCGCCCAAATTGCGTATTGGCGCGGTGCTCTTGGCTCTTCAAACCGTCTCTGTTCTACCCATTCAGGTCGGCGCACAAGATGTCATATCGCCATGGAAGGATACCGCGACCGGCTTCGGGCCAGACGTTAGTCTCGCTAAGGCCTGGAATGCCTCCTTTCCGCTGTTTGAAGGCATAACGTCTTCACCGACCAACAACAGCGGTGTGACTGGTAGCGACGGGCTCAGTCGCAGAGCTGCCAAGGACTTCTGGCTTAGAGTCATGCCCCTAGGTGCCTCTATCACGCAGGGCATACATTCGTCAGACGACAACGGCTATAGGAAGTGGATACGAGAGCAGCTGCGCTGGGAGGGTTGGCAAGTGAACAGTGAGGACTTCATGGCCCCAGCTAACGTGAATTGCCAAATTACTGATTTTGGTTGGCTACAGTGGTGGGATCAGGACAGATTGGGACAATGAAAGACAGGGTAACCCTTGACCTAGGATAAGAGGCTCTCCTCCTCCTCCTTTGCCGTCACTGATACAACTCACTGTAGCACGAGCATGCTGATTCGTGCGTATAGGATCACGAAGGGCATCCCGGTTGGATCATTACCGAAGGTGGAGGGCATAGTGGCGTACAACAAGCCTGGGACGCTGCAAAATGGATGAAGCCCAACCTGGTCCTGCTCAACGTGGGTACCAACGACTGCAGTTACAATGTTGACTTGCCGAATGCCGGAGCTCGAATGCAGTCTCTGGTTCAAAGCGTCTTTGACGCTGTACCTGGCGTCGTTGTTATCCTGTCAACCCTTATTCCGAGCCCTGGTATTACAGACTGCGCTAAAAATCTGAGTGCCCAGTACCGCCAGATTGTGCCCAAGATCCAGAACGGCAGGCTGGGTCTCGCCGACTTCAACGCCGCTATGGATCAAGCGACCATGTTCTCGGATGACCCTATCCACCCGAACGACTATGGGTACGAATTCATGGCCTCTGTCTGGTGGCAGGCCATCAATGAAACTTCTTCTGCCCTATCAGCGCCGTTGGACAATGGCCAAGATGATTCCCAACCTGCTGAGACTTGTGCCAAACAGGCCGGTGTCTCGCGCGGGCCCATCGCTACGCAGAATGGCTCTGGCCACGATGACGGCATCTACGTCCACAAGTCAACTAGCAAGGGCGTCTTAGTCGACGGCAGGATCCAAAAGCCTACAGACAAGACCGAGTCTGATGCAATTCCTTCGCACATTTTCTTTGCCCAACTGACCAACGTCAACGGTGTCGACCGGAGCGCGGCCTTGGACGACTGGGTAGGCTTCCTTTTCCCTCTACGTTTCTAGTTCCAGGCCTATTGCGCAATGTGCTGATCATGCTTGTTAACTGCAACAGATCCGTAT